TATGGCAGTCCAAGAGATTTTTTTTTTTTTTAGTGTTAAGCTGCAGGCAAGCTTTATGAAAACTATCTGCAGAAGTGGCTTGCATATAAAAAAGTGCCCATCCAGGCATTTTTATATCTTGACCACTTCTGTAAAGCAATCCTGTTTGCTTAGGATAAAAGCATGAATGTATGCAAGTGGACACTAAACATTACAAACATACTTTGTCCCTATTTACACAGTACACACAATTTTTGCACTTCATGGACTTGATTAAACATCAGGTCCTTTCACTTCTGACCAAATCATTTCCTTGGTTTCAGGCACTCACACAATGCAGTAGTGTAACTAGTGATGGGTGACTGGGGCATAAGCCACCAGCACCAAATTAATAGGGGCACCACAGATCTACCGTTACCACAAGCAAGGGGAATCTGTGGCACTTGGGCAGACTCTAGGCTTTGGCCTCAGGGAGCAGTGGTAGGAGTTGCTTGCAACCTGTGAGGCAGTTGGGAGCTTATGGGGGTCACAGCCCCAATTCCCTTTTCAGCCTCAGGTTCCCCCAACCCCAGTGGGAGATACCACAGCTGCAGGGGGTGATGCTACTGAATTCAGTGTTGCAAAACCCTGTGGCAACTGGAATCAGCAGCACTGAGCAACAGGAGTGGCTGCAAGAGGGACCTTGCATTAACCCCTTGGCTACTGGCCACATTGACAAGCCCGCCTGCAATGACATCTCCTAAAGTGGGCAACAGGGAGAAGCATGAGATTAGAGAGCAGACAGAGACTACTGGGACACAACACACATGTTGCCAAGGGCACAATTCTTACCCATTAAACCTCTGTGTCTACATCAGGAGGAAAAGGCTGAAGTTCCCACTTAGAATCTCCCTCCATTTCTGTTGCATCCTTTTTTGCCTTTGTGGGAAAAACAAGGGGTCTAGGGCCATAAAAATCTCAAGGACCACTGGAGGGACAGGGCCTCTAGAGCAAGGGTGGCCAAAATGCAGCCTGTGGGCTAGATGCGGCCTGCCAGGCCATTCTATCTGATCAGCGGGGCCCCTAAAAAGTTTAGAAAATTAATATTTATCTGTCCCACCATGAGGCCCTCGATGGCTTGCCAAAACTCAGTAAGCAGCCCTCCACCTGAAATAATTGCCCATCCCTGCTCTAGAGGGAACCTAATTACTTTCAAGGTGGCTTTAACAGAGTCCCACCTGCAGAAACTCCACTTGTCATGGCTACTGCCTTAACCAAGATGCCACAAAGGTATCAATAAGTTGAAAAGGACAAGACCATGAGATAGATGGGTTTACCACAGCCCTGCCCTCCTCTTAACTAGTGTTAACAGGATCTGACTGAAGAACCAAATCACAAGTCAGAAGGGATTTGTACACAAACACCCAGATCCCTTAACTGAGAAGGATCAAGTGGTTTTAATTAGGCGACCGAAAACAGTACTTACGTAGCCTCTTAAAAATCACACCTGAATATGAAATGCTTTAATCTGGAGTGCATTAGTTCTGTACAAAGGCACATCAACCCACCTCCTCCCAGCTGAAGTACTAGCCAGTGCTGTTGCACCACACCAGCTAGAAGGTTGATGAGGAGGAAGTTGGTGGCCCTTGTGCCATAATCCCCCTGAGGCTTCCAAGAATAGCTGAGTGACTAGCCAAAGCCTTATAGGTAATTTGACACCCCAGTTTCTGCTCAAGGCTTCCTGACACTGCAGAGCTGGTCAATTTCATGCATGCTGCAATGCTGCATTCCTAGTGGGAACAAAGAATGGATTTCTACCAACTTTTCACTCTCTAGCCTCTCACAGAACACCATTGTGAGGTATTGGCTCTGCTCCACGGTTTGCAGCAGTAATTGCTTACTTGGTCTTTTTCTCCATAGTCTTCCAGCACATCTGTGAGCTAGCATCCCAAAGAATAACAATCAAGGCTCCATGACCCTTGCACTCAAGGCATTCCCTCCAGCTCTGCTATATGCTCCACACATCTGAGAAAGTAGAAATAAAGGACTCCTTTATGGACAGCTTTGAGATTCCCTTGGGACCACTTGCAGACAGGGCAAGTCTGAACCAAGGAGACAAGCAGACAATCCTGGAGACCTGGAATACCAAACAGTGGTGGTAGAATTTCAGGAGAAGCAGAGCCACGTTCCTCAAGTCAGCCCCAATGCTCCAGGGCCAAGCTATCAGCCTGCATGTGGCCATGCCTAATGAGAAGCTGAAGACAACTGCCTTCTGGAACATAAGTAATTGGTACCTCCTGAATCTGGGGGGGCATCCACAGAAGCCACCAACAGCAGTGGCCTTGTTGGCGGGGGCACCAGCCCTGCCGACAGCATCAGTGTCAGCTGTCAGGGAGAGCACAGGCCCCGTCAGGGGGGGCACGTGCACCCCTGTGCACCCCCTACCAGTCACCTACGTTCTGGAAATTAGCAACCCACAACATTCTCCAGTCTGTCGTCAATTACTTTGGCACAGACAAGTCCACAGCTGGTTCACCCATCCACAAGGTGCTAGCACCACATTTCTTTTGCCTCTCCAACACACAAGAGATCAGTATCAGGTATGCCCATGAGCTTTTCAAACTGCATCCTGGTCATCAATAGAACCTATACTGTCATCCTGAGCCTAAAACACCTGTCAGCTCATTGCCTTGAACCTGGGGGCCTAGCCTACCTGGCACAGCCACTCTAAGCTAAGCAGACAGAACCCTCCACATGGGCCTAGTCACCAACTCACTTCCTGCCACTGGAGTGACTAGCCAGAGTCAGTAACCTTTCACTCCAATATAAATTCCTGACCCAGAAGGGGAAGTGTGTGGGCAGCAAGGCTCAACCAACACCTAGACTACGCCTCATGCCTCTGCTAGCTGTCTGATCCATCAGCTACCTTATTTGGCTTGCCCTTGGACTACATTTTTCCTGACCCTTCAGCTTCCTAACCCAGCCTCTTCCTCTGTCTGACTCCCAACCTGATCTCCTATCTACCCAACCCAGCTTGCCTTCTGACTCTGCACTCTGATAAACCTTCCAGTTTTCTGACACAGCTCTTCAGATTGACCTTCTGGCTTCCCAGCTTCCTAACACAGATTCTATGGATCCTTAATCCTGGTTTCTTTCACCTGACCTGGTGTGACAACACCATGGTTTAGAGTAAGTCAACCTCAAAGACTATTTCTCCATTGTGCTGCCCCAGGAGCTGATCAGCACTCCCAGACTTGAGAGCCCTGCTCAACTGATGTCTGGCCACACATGCAACTAAGGTGCTGTGAAACATAACCAGGAGTGACCAGGAACAACGGTCACAAGCTAGCAGAGGGTAGGTTTAGGTTAGACATCAGAAGGCGCTATTTCACGGTCAGGGCGGCTAGGGTCTGGAACCAACTTCCAAGGGAGGTGGTGCAGGCTCCTACCCTGGGGGTTTTTAAGAAGAGGTTAGATGAACACCTTGCTGGGGTCGTTTGACCCCAGTACTCTTTCCTGCCATGGCAGGGGGTCAGACTAGATGATCTTCTCAGGTCCCTTCTGACCCTAGAAACTATGAAACTATGAAAACCAGCTACAAAGTTATTACACATTTTGTGCAATAACGTTGTGGCTTATTCCTTGCTTTATCATGCCATTAAGTTCATTGTGTGATCAGGTTACTCATTAAGATGTGATTATAACTGGTGTTGTCACAAGACACTACAATATAAGAAACTGGCACATAGAGGGTATGTCATCTGAAGGGCAACCTGAATCCTGGTTGGTATGATGACCTCTTGTGTATGGCACTTTTGGGACCTTTGCCATGGTCGCACCTGCAAGCAGTCATCTCTGTCACAGAGCCTGGCTCCAACGGCTCTGCCTGAGTGGCCACTGGCTGCTCTCCTCACCCCAGATATAGAAAGGATCCATGACCTCCCCTTGCCTCCAGCTGGTAGAGTATTTCACAGATACAATTAGTCTGGGTGTAGGTTGTTCATGTCGCGAGTGAGCAGATGTTCAAAACTATTTGCAACACACTGGAGAAGACAAGTTTCTGGGGTGGTAGCCAGAAAACACTGGCTGCATCATGCCTTATCAAGCTTCAAAGAAAAGAAAAAAGCAAGGGCACATGCAAGACAAAACCTATGAGACCAGGACATTCAAGGTGACAGCAAGTCACGAATAAGCCACACTGGTTTCCTCGTAGACAGGAAGCATAAACTGTGGAGTGCTGATGGACAGACAGAACAAACCCATTCCATACTCTGATGAGGAGAACTGCTGTAACCAGAAGAGCTTCAAAGTCACACACTTCAAAGTCTTTTTTTTATGATTTAAGCTAATTTATAGTTTCAGTGCTGTCCACTGTCTGTACCTGTAAGTACTTTTAAAGGTGCTATAAAAAAAATGAAGTGCTACAAATATTTAGTCAATACATATATCTGGGTTCCCTTAAAAGACGGACAATAACTTTGTGCCCTCAATGAATATTAGAATTTTCATCCTTTTAATGCTACATTTTTAAGCTTATCCTGAAAATGGTTGTTAACATCACATGCTATTTCCTTCCACTTAATGTAAAGTGCTCATTAGTGTTTTTTAACAATTCCCATTACTTATGGAGTTTATTAGGATTATCTCCCAAAGGCCAAATTCTGCAGACCCATGGAGTTTCTCTTTCTCCCATAGAAGTTTTGCATGAATAATTAATACAAGACTGATTCCTATAGCATTTTCTGGTTCTGCTTAATCCTGCTCTGTGAGATCTTAATCCTCAATGACACTGCAGATAAAACAACAAGCACCAGAGAAAGTAGCAGCATTAAGACCACGTGAAGAAACCAGCTGGCACAACCTACCATAGCTGCAGCCAGCCAGGCTAGAAAAATCTAGCCAAAGAGGTTTCATCTAGGTCCAGGAGTGCCAGGCATATTGGTTTATCTTATAGTTGGAGGGAAACCAGCTGCTAAAGTGACACTGCTTATAACTTTCAACTCATTTCTCTAAGATTTAGTGAGAAAGGTCCCAGGTAACACTTTAAAGCAACAGAGGCTATAGTGGTTTATTTTATTAACAGCAATGAAAACAAAAATAAAAGAATAAAACAAAATGCTCCTTCAAATATAAAGCTTATAGACATAAAACTTCTAGTATTGTTAAGCCCCAATTCTGAATCAGGCATAATTACAAAAATCCATATAGGATTCAGAAAAATACAGATTCTTAGATATGGGACTTGTCACTTGTGACAAATGTTGACAGCAAACAGTGTAAAAAGAAAATGCCCAAACTGTATTTACAAATGTATATGATGTAATAATTGATAAACTGCTTGTTAGTAAACAGCAGATTATGCAGTTATACTACATTCCAAAGGGTATTATCTAATCAGAGTTATTATGTGTAAAATTAAACTGAAAGACAGGTTATCTGAAAAATAAAGTCAGTTTCATTGCAGAAGTATATGCACTCAGTCACCAGAATTTCCTGGTATCTGTATGTTAATATAAAATGCACAAGAGCACCTGATTCAACCCAATAGGGTTACCTAAGCCCAACTGCAAATTTCATTCATAGCAGAAATTATCAACAGTAGAAACTCATTGTGAAAGGACATTTATACATTTTTTTGCAATTATTTGTTATCTATTGCTGCTGAGTTGTAAATGCTTGTATAAAAACAAGTCTCCCCACACCACATTTGTAATATGGTCATAAATAGGCAATAGTGATAAAATGTACCATATGATTACCTCAAACTATCAAGCTCTTTGTACTTTGGAAAAAAATGAACAATACCCAAGGCCCTCTTCTGTTCCCCAAAGTTCCCAACGCAAAAAGATTCCTATATTTTCATCAGATGAAAATCAGAACTGGCACCAACATTCATGCTAGCTGTCCTGCTCAGCAGCAGAAAAATTCACTTATTTACAAAATTTCAATCTTTTCTTATGTAGCAATTCCAAAGAGTTCAACTTCTGTGCCCAAGAGTTTTTTGTTAAGTCTTATCAGGTATGACGAGGACAACATACAGAAGGGGCAGGCATATCCAAGGCTCTGCGTCTGTCTTCATAGTCATCAGTGTCTGTCGAATCCTCGTCTTCATCCATAGCATATTCATTATGATTGGTTTCCTATGAACAAAACACATACATGTTTTTAATTCTGTCCTTTCCTAACTTGCTGTGATTGAGTGCTAACAACTTAACTGTCTCAAAACAATTATGGAATCTTACATCTCATTTATAATCATATAAAAAGCCACTAATCACAGATACAGATTGATTATTATAAATAACAACTCAATACTGTTAAGAACAAACCTGGCTTTACATGAGACACTGAATTTACATAATTCAATCATATTTCTATACTGTTTCACCTTTCAGGCAAATTGATCCAGAACCCGATCGTGAATTTGAAATCAATTTTTTTTCATAATCACAAGTAGATAAGAGCAAAAATGTAAACCACTAATACCTTTTCTTGAGCAAACACTCTAAAAATCAGAGCATCACTCAACTATAGTATTCAAAGCCCACTGTAGAGCATTAGATGCAGAGCAGTAAAATTACTACCAAATCAAACAGCTAATGCAAGAGATTTCTATACCTTGTAAAAAAGTCACAGCTTTATTAAAATGTAAACAAACTAAATAAAAAAAATTAGATCACGTTAGAAGCGTGACCTCTGCTGGCTTTCTATTTACTACTGCTAAAACAAAGCACGGTTCATTTCCCAAATCTTTAAAAACTTTAATTCATTCCTAGTGACATCACTTTCAAAAGACTGCCAATGGAGGGGACAAAAATTTAAAATGAATTTTCACTCTGGGAAAACAGTGACTCGCCAGAGAACAAAACCCCAATACAAAGCACTACCCTGCCTTGTGGATGCCAGTATGATGAAGTTTCATTTCCCTTTTGCAGAACCTCTGAAATCTGTGTTTCATAGTTTCAAGGGTCAGAAGGGACCTGAGAAGATCATCTAATCCAACCCCCTGCCATGGCAGGAAAGAGTACTGGGGTTAAACGACCCCAGCAAGGTGTTCATCTAACCTCTTCTTAAAAACCCCCAGGGTAGGAGCCTGCACCACCTCCCTTGGAAGTTGGTTCCAGACCCTAGCCGCCCTGACCGTGAAATAGCGCCTTCTGATGTCTAACCTAAACCTACCCTCTGCTAGCTTGTGACCGTTGTTCCTGGTCACTCCTGGCTGTGCTCGGGGGAACAGTGACTCCCCCAATGCCTTCTGATCCCCCCTGACCAGTTTGTAACAGGCCACAAGATCCCCCCTCAGCCTTCTCTTGTGGAGGCTGAACAGGTTCAGGTCCCGTAGTCTCTCCTCATAGGGCCTGCCCTGCAGTCCCCTGATCATGCGAGTGGCCCTCCTCTGGACCCTCTCCATGTTGTCCACATCCCTCTTGAAGTGCGGCACCCAGAACTGGACGCAGTACTCCAACTGTGGCCTGACCAGTGCCGCATAAAGGGGGAGGATCACCTCTCTGGACCTGCTCGAGATGCATCTGTGGATGCATGACAAGGTACGGTTGGCCTTCCTAACTGCCTCCCCACACTGCCGACCCATGTTCATCTTGGAGTCAATGATGACTCCAAGATCCTTTTCCGCCTCCGTGCTGACAAGAGGGGAGTTCCCTAACCTGTAGGTACGGTGCCGGTTGTTCCTCCCCAGGTGCATCACCTTGCACTTGTCTGTGTTGAAACCTATCCTATTCTTATCTGCCCACCCTTGTAACCTGTCCAGGTCCGATTGTAGCCTGTGTTCTTCCTGTTTATTTGCGAGAACAGTGGTGCTCAACTTTTTTGCCCCAGGAACCAGATGAATTGAGCAGAGTCAGATCAGACACTGCATGCCAGGATCAGGGCCCTGCGCCACCAGTGCACAGGATCACAGCCCATGGGGGTCCCCACAGGCTGGATGACATGGCTCTGGGGGCCAGAAGTTGAGATCCTCTGGATTAAAACAGTGTGTTACTCTCTGTTTTGCAGGGCTCCTTAGAGTGGTTTTTTTTTTTTTGGTCACACAGCTCAACAATTAAGCCAACAAGATCTCCAAGTTCCTTCTGAACTACCTGTAAATGGAGCCATTTCCAGCTTTGTAACTCAACAGCTGTTAAAATGTAGATGCACAACAACTGCCAAAGTCCACCAGCTATTTCCAAAACTTACAATTAGACAATCATTCACAGGAATAGCCTTTCACTTAAAGTATTAGGCTTACTGCATGTGTCACCAGGTAGAATTCCATTGTCTGTGTTATTCAAGGACAAAAGGTCAAAAACAACTCTCAGTTCACCAGTTAAAATGTCTGTTAACTAAAATTCTCTTACAATGAGCAAACAAGAATGCCACTCCAATTTAGAAGGCAAACCACAACATGGTTGCACAGAAAGAAAAAACTCCAACATTAATTTGGATATATAAAATGTGTGTTCACTAAAAGCTCTAATCACCATTACACTGGTTACAAAGGCAAAGAAAATAAAACCAACTCCCCTCTCTTGAAAGTGTAGTTCTGCCACAACCTCAATAAAAATATCTCTTAAACTAGGGACAGACATTCAAAAAGCCGGAGCCCGAATTGATTCACTCTTTGCAAGTTAGTCTAAGCCGCACAGCTTAAACTAATTAATAACTGGACAGACATTATCTGTTAAATCGGAAATGCAGGTATGTGCCTGCAGTGGCTCAAGCCAGAAGCCAGGGGGTGCTAGAGCATTCCTGCCTGCCACTGCCAAAGGGGAGGGAAGAGAGACGCTCTCCAAGTCTCTCACCCTTCCCTGCTGGAGCAGGGGGGATGTGGCTAAGCACCAGCAGGGGCTAGCAGGACTCACAGGATGCCAGCCACCAGCCTGAGAGATGGGGAGCGAGAAGCTGCTGCCAGACTGAGTGGGAATGGGAAAAAAGTCCTCTCTCTGAAGCAAGCATGTACTGAACACAGCAATTTGCAAAGCATACAACAGGGAACTACTACTTATCTATGCCTAAGCTAAGATACAGCTCAGTAACACAGCATACACAACTTGCTCTAACTTAAAAGGTAAAGCAGGAAGACAAGAGAAAGCCTTTCATAAGTCTTAGTAATCCTGACGGCAGAGTGTCTCCTTACAGCCAGGCATTCAGTAAGATTTTGTTTAAGTTTTACAGGTTCTGCTTTATAATGTAAATGTAGCTCTCTGCATTCTTTGGTGGGCAACTTCCAACCAGAAGCTGTCTGCAACTTCCCTTAACTCCACCTTCAGCACATGTGTGATGATTGTCAGGTCTTTGCCAACACTTCCCAACTCTCAGTCTGGTCCTGCAGGTCTTAACTCTGGGCTCACAGGTGCAGGTCTTGGATCTACACACAGAGGACTAGCTTGCCTCTCTTCCACACTCCAGTGGAATTAATCCCCTCCAACCCTCCAAGGTACAGCTGGGGCTCGCAAACCCCAGCTGTGGTCCACAGGGCTTGCCAGCCAGGGAGGGGGAGGAGACAGGATGGAGGGAGGAATTTATCTCAGGGGCCATGGCAGGCCAGCACCTGACCACACCCCACCTGTTCTGGCTAGAGAGGAAAGGGGAGGGGCCAGCCCAGCTCTCTTGGAGCAGAGCCCAGCCCAGAGAGCATGCCGGGATGCTAGGAGTCTCTGATTTAAATTAGACCAGGCAAGGGGTCTGGAACAGACACTGCTTAACTGATTTGGCTCAAACCGATTTAAGTCTGATACTACATTCAACCATGTTTATCTCAAACCAGTTTTGGCCATTTTCAAACTGGTTTATGTGCAATGAATGATTGTTGTTACAGGTTTAAACCAGTTTCTGATCACTTAACCCGGTTTGTGTGTAATGTCTGTCTCTAGCCTTAAAAACTATGCTCTGATGCCTGTAATCCCTTAGCTATGTTTAACTGTCTACTACTTGCAAATACAGTAATAAGGCATTTGGAAAGAGACAATTCCTTCAAACTGGACAGTCCAATACTGCTTACATCTTTACAGATCAGAAGATTTTTAATACATTTGGGAGGCAATATAGATAACAGAATGCTTCTGATATGTACTGCCACTAAGAAGTATACACAGCTTCTGTTACTAATACTATTACTGCATTTAGTATTCTAATCCAAGTGGCCTATGCACAGTTCCCTAGGGAGCACACTGTTAAAATGCTGATATCATCTCAAGACTGATTACTGCTGATAGTTAAACATTAAAATCTGGTGAATTCTACTGAATTGCACTACTCTATTTACTCGGCTTCAAGATCATCCCAAAAGTTCAAAGGAATTCATACTGGTAAAAAGAGGAATTCTCCTTCCTAACCCCAGAGTTGTTGGTATAGTTCCAGATTTTGCAACAATTCTTATCCTTCAAGCCCGCCTGTTACAGAATTTAGTAGTAATATTAAGAAACAAGTTAAAAAACAAAAAAAAAAGAAGCATCATCATTGCAGAGTCTGTTGGACCTTGTCAATAGGTATGGAAGTTATGTTACCCATGAAATCTAACATTGATCTTATTTTCTACAAAAATAAAAGGTTAGAAGGAAAATCTGAAACAGCATAAACTGCATCTCTGCTTACCAAGCGTGCTGTAGACACCTTGAATGTTGGGCATACCATATGAAACCTGGGAATGGTGACATTGAAAAACTTGTCCTTATAGTAGAGACAGTGGAAGGTATAGTAGCCTTCCATGTATCCTGAAGTAGTGGAGAAGGTAGTACAGCTGGTATATTCATATACATGACCAGGGCTGATTATTGGAAACTCTCCTGTTAGTACAAAGTTAATAAAGAACAATTGGAGTTTTGAAGGAAAGTGTATAAAACATATTCCCCTCTTATAACAATTGTTTTCTAAGAAAAGTTCTACAGCTAGAGTCCTCTACAACACAGAGCTAGTAATGAATGATTTGGAGTGCTTTAATTGTATCATGTGAAGAAAATGTAACTTGATAGAAAAGTTCTACATTTGTTACCTGAAAATTCTCTTTTCTCATGTAAGTTTCAGTCACATTAATTTATTAAACACACACACATTTCAATAAGCATCTTACTCCCTGAGAAGCAATCACTACAGTAAGTTTATAGAACAAGTACAAACCATGACCATGTTGTAGATTGTTTTGATGGAAAACATTTAGTCAACAACTTGAAAGTAAAAAAAAATTACAAATTAACTTCATTTTCACAGAGATAATTTTGTTTTAATTTTTACTTACCATATTTACTTGATTTCAAGGTGAGTGGCCACCTCTCCACCCCCCGTCCCACTATTTAACATGGGTTGGGGGATAAGACCCTTGTCCTGGAATTGAGTATGAGACAGCAGGGAGGCAAGCTACTGTGGCTCCGGCTCCAGCACCAAACTTGGGCTGAAGCCACAGCTTCTGTCTGACCCCTACTGCTCCTCCTCTGCAGCCTCAGACCCCTACTACACCTAGGCTATCACCCTGTGCCACATCTCCCCACTCCCCCACCCCCGCACCAATGCTTACTTTTGCTTTGGTATTGACACGCTCTGTCCCTGCTGCAGCCAACTCCATGTCACTGCTACAGGGCTGGGCTTGGCCCATGCTCAATGATTCAGCAGGGCTGGAGCTTGCCAGCATAAGAACAAAATAAGGAGGAGGTGAAGGGACAGGTGGTGGGGGAGGCAGTATTGGGGCAGGTGGAGGGAGCATTGTGGGGCAAGTGGTAGGGAGTAGGTGGTGGGACAGGCAGGCAGTTGCCACTCTGATGCCTGTAGGTCCCCCCTCTCCCTTCCTTACTCTCCTTTGTGCCTGCCCCAACAACAGCCTTGGGTCTCAGCCTCACCTTCCCCCTGCAGTACTGGGGGAATGAATTAAATATCAATAAATTAGATTCTATACATGGAAAAATTATAACATTTATAATTTTTCCATGTATAAAATCTAATGGGGGGGGGGAGGAAATCTCAAATTCGGGATCATCTTTGAATTTAGAAAATACAGTATGTGCATGTGACACTACAAAATGTAACAGAATCAACATTGGGACATGGCTTATTGCCATCTTCTGATTGTCAGAATCAACCAATGTCACTAGCAAGAATGGATGAGCACAATTCGCACACAAAACAGTGAAAAACCTTTTTATGCCAAAATGCTGAAATGGAATTTAATTTGGAGTTACATACCGACTACTCCAGGACCCTGAACTTCTTCCACATCACCTTTGGCATTTGTTATTCTCCAGTACCGACTGTCCAACTGACAAGCTTTTTCAGGAAGAGCATCTTTGGACATTTCAATTCTATGAATCAAATTAAATATTTTATGTTTAGAGATTATTTCCATGCCTACAAAACAATCATATAAATGTTGAACACTACTCTGCTTAGAGAAAGGTGCACAGACTAAACTAGCCCTGGTATACAAATTTGATCAGACACATTCCCTCCATTTCATTATTATTCTTCCTTACCAGTTTCCCTTACAGGAGTATTGCAAGGGCATAGGCTGAGGACACATTTGCAGTTGGTGCATGCTCTACCTAGATGAAATGAATAGTAAAGAAAGAAAGAAAAGGCAGCCTCTGGCTTCTTTACTATTCATTCCATCCAGGAAGAGCACATACCAACTGCAGATGTTTCCTCAGCCTGAAAAAGGGTATTTATACCCAAAAGCTTGCAAAGAAGAATTTTTCCAACTATCTGAGTTGGTCTAATAAAAGATATCAGATTTACCCAAAGAACTTTGTCTGCCTATGTCCTTAGGCCAATGGAGTATTGTCTGCCAGGAGTATTGCAAGGAATTCCATTTGCTATATATTGTTTTGGGGAAGTTTCTTCTCAGTAATAAACATAGGTTTAGGAAACGAACACCAACCCATGGTTTGGCATGGTCATCAATAACCATTTTAACATTACATTAAAATTAGAGTATTGCATGCTGCGTTCCAAACTCCTTATAGACTATGCTTCACTATACTACTGAGCACACACTTGCAGTGATCTGGGAGCTCCACCCTTACATAAGATTCTTCCTGTCATCAAAAGAAGGTAACTCATTTACTATCCTCACCTGATTCTGTAAGTAAAGAAGTAATGAGGTGGATGTACGGAACTGAGCTCAGGTAGAAAAGATGTGGAAACAGAAACAGTAATATCTCCTGTTGTAGCTACACATTCCTTATCGTGAACGTACCTGTGAAAGAGTTTCAAATCTCACCAAATTCCATGGGATCAATACAAACAAACAAAAACTACTCAATTTTCATAATAGATACATGTCAAGTTTCTAGCTATTTTTGTGAGGTTAAAAGGACATTAAAAAAAAATCTCTACATGTGCCAGTAAAAGAAAACAAATAAACCCTATTTATGCAGCATATTTACAGTTTATATTTTTCTTCATCCAGAATAACTCTAGTCAACTCTCCTTTGGTGTATATATTAGTCAATGGTGCAAAGCTTGTGTTAAAATAGAGGGATATGTTTACATACAAAAAAAGCCCAATTTGGTCAACTTCAAAACAAAAACAGGTATATCTTTATGCAGTAAACATTTCAGAAACCCTACATTTATGTCTGAGAACATTCCTTTAGTCCCAAATGGGGCAGTTTATATGCAACTGTAACAAAAGTATAAGAATTGACAACTGCACTTCTAAGTTTGAGGATAAACCTCTCTCCAAATTCAGCTTCCTCAGAAGTGTTGTGTTCAATGCAACATTAGTATTAACAGGGACAGACCAGCTCACTGGAAGAACTGCAACTGTAAATACCATTTTTGTTTACAATCAGTAAACTGCAACTGTATCTCAGTCATACTAGTAAGTAGTAGCCCTGTTATTTTGCACTTCAAGTTTCAAGACAAGAAATGGATTAGGGTGGATAATAATAAAATCCCTTCGATCTGATCTACTGGTTTCAAGTCTTCTTGTGACAATGCAGGATTACTTTAACTCTCAAATTTTGCAACTCCCACCTCCTATTTCATACATCCCTCCCATATGCCACCCACCAACCTCATGCCATGAACCACCACACCCAACTGTTTTTAAAAACGTTAATTCTAAGGAAATTAACATCTGCACCTGGTAATAATGCTGTACTATAGATCAAAGTCACACTACCTGAAAATCTGGTCCCTGATGATAGGATAGCCACCTGTTACAACTTTGTTTACGTAAGAAGTGAACCATTCCAAGTAAGAAGTACCTAAATGCCAAAAGGAAAAATTTTCACAAGGACAGGTAAGCTTACAACTGAGCCAGAAAACATAACAAACAACAGCGAAGCTTGTATATCTCTATAATAGATTCCCAAATCTTCTTGGTGAGTCAGTTATTCCATATTCTAATCTGTTCAGCTATTTGCAGACAGACAACCTTTGCTGGGAGATGAATTGCTCAATTATCTCCACGTTACTGTGTTAATATTAAAGATGAGATGATCCTTGACCTGAAGGCTGCACAATATCTAGCTGTACTATGAAACATCTAGCACAATTCTCATGTTGTCAGTCTCCAGCTTGTTTTCAGATAGCTGCTAGTAGGGGATATTGTTTTTCACAATTAAGATGATTACTATACATGCTTCCTAAGCACTTTGCACCACTGCTAATCTAATACTCTACCTGCTCAAAGCGATGGTCTACTATTGGGTTTGATTTACAGAATTGGTGTGGGCACATGGTATTTTAGGAAATCTACTCTCAATTTTGTTTAAGCTTTAAAACCCTACTAATTCACAAAAACAAAGCTCCACAGTAGAAGAGATGTAGTAATATGCACACCTGTCGCCCAATAGAGAACTTGGTTTTTAACAAATCTGCAAGCCAGCTGTTTTGAAAGAAGTTGATTTTTCTAGTGGTAAATATAACAAAAAATGGGGCCTGTTATAGATTAAGGTTGACAGAGCTGAAGGAGTCCTTTAATTAAAGAAATTTTTCAAAACAATTCTATTTTACCCTGTATGGAAATGACCTCCCTTGGCCAGTTCAAATATAATCAGTTCAAGCAACATACTATGGATTTCCATTAGTGGATAATACATAGCTCTTTATATCTGGGGGGGGGTTATTTTTAAAATTAACGATTTCATATTATTCCACTTGTGCCAAACTCCCCAGGTTTGGCACAAGTGGCAATGATAGCACCATCTATTCATCTCATTAAGCTCATATAGCTTACCAGAGGCAAAAACCCACCATTTGTACTATCCTTCCTTCTTTGGGGTCGCCATGTTATCTAGAAATCTCATAAAATTACCCTCCTTTTGCCTTCTGTCATCAACCCAACTACACTTAAAAATTCTATCTTTGCCTTGAATGGGTAGGTAACCGGAGGGCATATGTTGCACTAATTCACTCTGCTATTTAAAACAAGTGTTATATAGAAATATTTTTCTCACATTAAACTTTAATTTTCGTAGGCAAATGAGTGTGCCGTATGACTACAATGCCACATTGGTCCACAATTAAAAATTAGCGCCCACAAAGACTGTGGCAAGTAGAACTCACTCACTGCACAGTCACCAATTCTAAAATAGTGCTTCTCTATCAAGATGAAATCTAAAAATGAAAAAACACCCACATTATTTTAATTTTCTAAAAGTTCCTTTCATCTAAAAGTCCTAACACACAATATATTCAGAATCAAGGTAGATGACAGACTACTTCACTCAGCACTGCAAGTGCAGCAAGCTCTGGAGTGGAATGAAAGATGTGCTTGCAAATACATAGTGAATAAAAATTAAAATCTGAGAAAACACTAGGGTACAAACAGATAAAAATAAGCTAGGAAATGAACTTAAATTATATTAGCTACTGTACAGTAACTGCGAAAATAAGGCTTCCCTCGTTTTACCTCTTATTTAAGCCAGGAAAAACAGCAGTACAGTGCTGTCCAAAATGGTTACTGATCACTGGCATTATATTAGGATAGCACACTTCTCAGGATGCAGTTAAGGCACATTTATCATTAGTTTCCCAAATTATCACACTGCTTTCACTTAATGAAAAAGTGATTCATCTAGCTTATCTTGCTGTTACTCTCCTGGCAGATGGTACACCATGATGATCATAAAGCATTACACAGTCAAAAGATGGTTTTGCAATATTTCCTTCCCCATTGTTTATACTCTGTATACTGCAGTTAGAATCAACCTGAGAAAGCCAGGAAGACCTCTCTTTACAGGACTGATCAAACATATTTCATTGTTAAGTGACAGGATATACTGAATTTCCCAACACAGCTGCAAATGCTAGCTGGAAGTTCACATCAGGAAAGATGCCATGTTGATTGTCTGTGTTTGACGACTTCCCTGACAGTCACCTTAATGTCTGATGCTCATCTTGTCAGACGGCCCAGTGTGTTGAATGGTTCAGAGCAAGATGTATGGAAAGACAAGTTTTAATACAGAAGACTTGTGCATCTCAGTTTTGATCAGTAATAAGAATACATGGACAAGATGGAGTGCTTATTCTGCTCAGGTCACAAAGTTGTAAACATATGCCACCCAGACTGTAACAGGTATCCGTTATTTACTAATATTTGCAATTTAAGAGTGTGAATTTATTGAATACTTTAAACAAAGTTTTCTTGGCAATGGTATTTTGCTCCAAAGCACCCTTACCTGTAATGAACATATCAATGGCAGATGGATTACGAGCCATTTGATCCTAGAAAAGGAAAATAAGTACATATATTAGACCCTTAAGACAAAAATCAATACCCAAAATATACCGTACTGAACAAGTTCTTTATATTCCAGAGACTCATACCTGGCTTTCTCATTTAAATATTCAAATGGAACACTGAGAGATATTGAAAGCAGTGTCTTAAACAATTAGTTCAGCCTCCATCATTGGCATTCCAATGATATGTTACCATTTAAAAATTAAGCTCTGTTCTTCATTTAAAAAATATTTTAAATCAGTTTTAGGATAATAATCTGAAGATTAAAAAATAATCAAGTGGAATTAAACTTCCTTCTTATTAAATCTCCACATGAACAAAACTATTAAATAATTTTCCCAGTCCTCAAAATACATTTTCCAAGCAAAGTGTAGGTTAGCGTTAGTGTAAATTTTCAAAAAGAGAATAGCATGCTTCCAAACCTCCCACCAGTGCCACATGCCTAGAACTCACACTGCTACATTCCAGAAAATTAACCACAAAACTCCACCAGGTTAAGGATCAATAATAGGCTGGCAAAGGAAAACTCTGAGCTCTTTACATCTTGCTTTCAGCATTTGCTGTGAATCCCATTAGTAATTAGTTATGCTAGCAGTTTTAAAGACTTTAAGGGGATTTAGCTTAATTCTAGTCCAAAATTATGACCTAAACCTATGATTATTATCTGTTCTACCTTACTACTGCAGACATCTGAAAACTACAATAGCAAATATGTGCTGTAATAGTTTAGCATAATGAGATCAAGAATAGTTTTGAACTTGAAGCTTCAAAAATAATGGCATTTGAACTCAAGACTTAATCTTGCTGTATTACTTTACTTAACTGAAGTTTTAATTAAATATGCAACTTGACCAATAAGGAAGTTTAAAGAAGTTTGCTTGTATTTAAGAGAGAAGATAAACATATTCACATTCATGTGGTTCCACATTTATTTGCCACTTTACAAAAGGCAGATTTTGGACTGCCAATACTATAAATGCAACCTGGAACTGTGAAATTAGCTTGAGTTCAATTGGGCACCACTGAGGGTAAATCGACATGTCACCCTGTGATGACATGGTGATGCATGATGTCGCCATATGGCGAGCTATGGCAACGTAGTGATCACACAGGTCTACACGTGATCGGCAGCCACATCACCATAGTGGTGCACTCGGTGTGCCACGTACATGGAGTTTTGTAAGTACTAAAGAATAGCACCATAGCAGCTTCACTACATGGCAACGTGTGGACACATCCTGATAGTATAAAGTCTACAAACATAAATTTAATAAATAATTCTGTTGATGACTAGGAAGCAGTACTGGTTCAGTGACATGAGCAAAAGTAGCAAAAACTATTTTTCAGTTCTTAAAATAAAAAGGACACTGATGGTAGAAAAGTCAACTAGAGTGACAGTAACTAAAATGTTTTACTCTATACTAGGGCTGTGCAAAATTTCACCAAGTGTTTAGTTTCAAAGCTGTTGTGATGCATTTCAAACTCGAAATAGTGAAATCAAAACAAAACAAAAGCCTTCAAAACAGCTTCAGAATGAAAGAAGGGCACTCAAAACATTTAGAAAGTTTCAAAGCCAGGCTTACTTGGCTTCAGCACTGGTCCCAGCCAGCAGCGGCAACCTCCTGTCATCTGGCATGCAGATTCAGAGGCCACACCCCCGGAGAGAAGTCTGGCACAACCCCACAACCCTCCTGGGGTGCGGGCCCCCAGATCTGCACGCGAAATGACAGCATGCTGTCTCTGCTGGCTGGGGCCAGTGGCAGCAGCAGTCTTCCCAGAGCATGGCACAAACTGTACCCAGCGCCAGTCCAAGCCAGCAGCAGCAGCAGCCTCCTGTTACCCGGCATGCAGGTTGGGGGCCCACCCACACCCCCAGGAGGGCTGCAGGGCTGTGCCAGACTCTCACCAGGGGTGCGGGCCCTCGATTGGCACACCAGATGACAGGAGGCTGCTGCTGCTGCCTGAGACTGGCACTGGGCATGGGCTGCGCCAAGCGCCTTGAACATTGGTACTGCCACTGGCCCCAAGCAGCAATGGCAGCCTCCTGTTATCCAGTGCACAGATCGGGGGGCCACAATCCAGGAGTCTGGCACAGCCCCACAGCACAGAGGCGGTGGTGAAGCAGCCCCACCACAGGCTAGCATGGCGTGGATTCCAGTCAGTGGCCGCACCAAACACTGCCCAGCGGGGGCAAGTGGGGTCTTCCCAGCGCTTGGCGCAGGCTGCACCGAGCACCGGTCCGAGGCAGCAGCAGCAGCCTCCTGTCATCCGGCACACAGATCAGGCGCTTACTCGCACCCTGGGAGGGCTGCGGGGCTGTGCCAGACTCCTTCCAGGGCCTAGTCCCAGCTACTGCTTCTGGCTGGGACTAGCGCTGAGCACAGCCCGTGCCAAGCGCTGGGAAGATTGGTGCTGCTGCTGGCCCCAGCCAGCAGCGACAGCAACAGCATGCTGTCATCCTTCGTGCAGATCTGGGGGCCCACACCCTCGGGAGGGCTGCAGGGCTGTGCCGGACTCCTCCCAGGGACGCGGGCTCCCAATCTGCACGCCGGATGACAGGAGGCTGCCACTGCTACCTGGGACCAGCAGCAGCACCAATCTTCCTAGCGCTGAATGCATGCAGTGCCCAGTGCCAGTCCCAGGTGACAGCAGCAACCTCCTGTCATCTGGCACACAGATCCGGGGTCCTGCACCCCCGGGGAGGAGTCTGGCACAGCCCTGCAGCCATCCCAGGGGTGCAGGCCCCCGGATGCGTGGGCCAGATGACAGGAGGCTGCCACCGCTGGCAAGTGTTACAAGTTTTGCTTTGAACAGTTTGAGGTGCAGTTTCCCTGAAACCTCTGCACCTATGTGCTTGGAACTTGGGAGACTTTGTGTCCTCAGAAGGGACTACAATCCCTCCATGTTTCATCTGAATCAGGCAAGAAATGACAGAGTTATAGGCAGTTTGTGCTTCCCCATTAAAGCCTATGGGCAAAACGTTGAAACAGCCGTTTCAAAGCTTCCATGAAATGAAACGGAACAGTACTTTCAAAACTAAACAAAACAGTCTCACTGAAATGGCAAAACAAGAGTCGAAACGAAATGGTGCTGCTTCGCACAGCCCTACTCTATACTGTAATTCCTGGAGTAAGCAATGCTGTTTGGAAAAACTCAGGGCCTGGTTCTCCTCTGATGTCAAAGCAAATAGAAGTAAATCCATGGAAATCAATGGCATTAAGCCAATGCAAAATTACAACAGCTGGACTCTGATTTGAGGGCTTTCTATACTATCCATGACTTCAGCACCTTGAAGAGAATTTGCAGCATTCAATAAGATTCAATTTTTGTCATTTTTAAAAACCTCAATTATGGAGGACTGATGCTTTGTTAGAACAAACATTACACACTGCCACCAAAAAAGTGTGTCTTGATACTAAACTGGGACAAATTCATACCTGGCATGGTACCATCAAGTTAAATGAAATATCACAGGGATGCCTTTAGTCCATTATGTGAAATTTGCTTACAAGTCACTATAATCATTAACTATATTTCACACTAACACCGCTACACTGTGTGTTAAGCATTCTTCTTGGGTAATCTATGTCATTGAGACATTCTTGGGTTAAGTAATTTTCCCCAAGATATGCTCTCTGGGTATAAAAACACTAAATTATGCATACCTTTTATATTTCAGAACTTTATGGAATACAAAGGAGCAATGTCAGTTTTATTAGGAAGTACATGTACAAATATAAAAACATTTTTCTTTCTTACTGGACATTGGTAGAAGATCTCATGTCTATTACGACCCTCCACACTCTCCAGTGCCATATATTGACTCAGGCCAGTGTGAATGCAAAAGGTTAGAGGAAGGCATTGTTTCAGACCTAGCCGCTGCTGAAAACCCCCAGCTGCTGTGTCGATATCCAACAAATCCTCAGAACGATAGTGATTGGACAGTGCCATACTTCCCATCAACCTTAGCACCCAACAGAAAGAACAAAAAAGACACAGAAACAAAGAATACTTAGTTCATAGCAAAGATTTTTTTTTTTTTTTTTAACTCTACTTGAATAATTATGAATTTTAAGTGTTTCACAACCTTTCTGGATGTGTGGCACCTCTCCAAAACTTGTGAATTGAGTGGCACTATTTGAAAACTGTACATATTACAGCGCTTACTTCCTTGCAGAGACAAGCCTAAGCCTGTGCTTACCTGCTCATCTTCTCATACCTTGCTTATCTTCTCAAACTTCATGGCAGCCTTCAAAAGATCTTGCAGCACCCTGCTTGAGAATCACTGATCTATCTATACTTCTAGTCCCAATACTTACAGCCAGTAAAGTCTAGATATAGGATTTCCTACAGACTCAGGTAGAATCTTTTGCCTGAAATAATTTAATATTTTAAAGAAAAAGAGTAAGGGTATAGAAAAGCCCCCGTTTAACTGCTTTGAACTAGGAGGGAAAGTGCTCCTCCAAAACACACATCTATTGTTTTGATCCAAGTGCATCTCTGAAGAATCCTATAGCAATGTAAGTTTGCTAAATCACTGTTTTTTACCCTGCCTAAATTTGTTTTGCTACACTTAGATCCCTACAGAAGCATGCAAGATGTAACAGTTACAGTTTATATCACCATCATTTGATACCAACACAGTTGTTACATCTGTCTATATGCCAAGTGATTTAATAGAGTAACATTGCCCTGTTCATTTTCTGTGTCATGCAGGAGTAGGGGAGGCCTATGTCATACTAGGAAAGTGTGTGTGCGTGTCCTAGTCAGGGACCAGAATACAAACAGACACGGATGCACAAGAACAAATAGGACAATACTGATCAGCACAACAGAAAGTGGTATCAGCATATCAACAGCCTAACCAATACCAAAGGGGTTTTTTGTAGGCATTATAGCAAAGGACAGTGTTAAAAATAATTAAGTGTCTTTACAGATGTTTCAAGGCAGCTTCTTTAAAACAATCCTATGAAGCATAGGAGAAATTATGAAGGCACGTGTCTGAAAATCTAACAAGTGGGCAATAGAAGTTAGCATCACTAGTTAACTGAAGGCAAGAGATATAAACGATAGACAGACATGGATAAAGTGAAGACAAGCAGCTTATGCTTGATGCAATAGAGAACGAGCTAGTGGGAGAATGCCAACAGAGAGGTGACAAGGTCAAAGCAATAGGCTAGAAAAGCAATCACTGCAACAACATCCTGAATATGTATGAATAAAGCAAGACTGCGTATGTTGAGAAAGACTACTACAATGATTAAGACATAGCAGTCATTTATAGACATGCTGGGTGGGGGTGGGGAACAGGGAAGGAGGGAGAGAGACAGGTATTTTAAATTAACGCAGCTCCAAGAACTGCACTAATTAAAGCACCTGGAACGTCACATGCATCAGTGTCCCCATTCTGAAAAAAGGCAGCAGAGACGCTTTAACTAAAGCTCACTAAACGAGCTTTAGTTAAAATGTACCACTGCTGCCATTTTTCAGCTCAGGGATGCCGATACACATGACATTGGAGTCTGCTGGAGTATGGTAATTAACACCATCCAGCAGATTCTATTAACTGAGTCTGCTTCAATACACTATAATTTACAGCACGTTGGAGCAGCCTCCCTGCACATGTATAGGAGCCCAATTTGAGGACAGCACGGATGACAGATCTAGTTGTACAAATGATAAGAAAGGCCTACACTGAATGCCTTCAAGAGCAAATTGTTTATCTTGCTGGAATCGTATGACCCCTGCTGACTTCCTGCTCTGGGGCAGGGGACTGGACTCAATGATCTTCCAAGGTCCCTTCCAGCCCTAATGTCTATGAAGGACTGGTAAAAGATACGTCTGATGGGCCAAAGGAAAAGTCTTTCATTCCAATTCTAATGGAAGATTACTGACAGCAAGGGATCCCACACAGCAGAAACTGAAACTAGGAACAAAAACCCTGTGTGGATTTCTTACATCTTTTGCTTGTATTAGAGGGAGCATCAATCATTAGAGAACAAAAAAAGAGCCAACTCTTTCCACATGAAGTTCTAGTTATTCTAAAGTACTGTCAACAGAACAGGACTCACATGACGAATCTGAAAATGTGCATCAGTGCATAGTAATACTAACCAGATTCACCAATAAATGTTCATGCCTTTCAATGTGGTCACTGAAAGCGTAGCTTGGAAAGTAGTAATATTAAGCCAGGATCCAACAGATTTGTGAGTTATACTTAGAACCCTCTATGGTCTTACTGGAGTTGTAGTCTAAGATTAAGAAAGAAAAGATACTAAGAAGGCACTACTCCCCTTATCCACTGAGATTTCAGAGTGATACAACTACATGCATCCACCACTTCACTCACTCAATCACCACTCTATCCGAGTTTCCCCATCTTTTTTGAAATTGCCATTTGTGACTATTTTTGGTACCCGTGTCAGTTCACATCACGTTTAGCCAACCAAGCCAAATACAAGAGGCTTGAAGATACATTATTACTATGGCTGAAAGATATGGAGCTACAATAGGTCACTTGCAAAACTAAATATCTTATGGTTAAAAAGATAAATTCAATATGCTTTTATTTTCATAACAATATTGCTATTTTTTGTTTGCAAAGAGCAAAATGTATACAGTATTATGTGTGTGTGTGTGTATATATATATATATATATATAGCCTTGGGAAAAAAAACATGCACTTTGTTTTTTGAAAGGCAGAATGAAGCAAAAAATATACTGACCAGATTCAGCAATAAATGTTCAATGCTGTTAGAAAACATTTCAACCCTCAATCTACTTTCAACTCTAATAAAAACAGCACCATAGAGAAAGTAAGGCTGCTTGCAGATGTTTTTTAGAAAAGCGCTTTACCAGAAACAGCAGCACATTACTTCAGTCTGAGTCTGCAACATCTGTAAAGATCAGGCGCACCAGCAGGGCTCTTTGGTGCTCTTAGCTAAAGCTGATTCAATCCGCTATTAGATATAAGTGCCAAAAAAGCTTCAATGAAGCACCCAATCTTTACAGGCATCAAGCGAACCAATTTGAAGTAACACATTGACTCTTCACAGCATGTGTGGGACTCAGCATGGGGATATGCCAAGTTTAAAGTAAAGCACTGTGTTTGGGGGGGGGTGTTACCTCTGCAAGCAGTCATTAGGACAAAACACTGAAGCTGATAAGTAGTTTTAGTTCCTCACCCAGGAACAACTAGCTTTTGTCCATTATGAATACGAAATGAACATCGATAATCATCAGGGAGTTTGCAACCTATTTGTGCTTCCACAGCATTTAGGTCTTCCTCTTGCACACTATCTGCAAAATATATAAACACAAGAAATTTAGGTTGTAGATTCAGACAACCAAAAACAAAAATCTAAGGTTTCACACATTATAAATAAAAAAGTCTACATTTGTAACCACCTTGTTCAAGCAAATAGCAAGTTTACCACCTACCACTTACCTCAATAGCAGGCTACTGTTCTGTAGCATAGAAGGACTAACATAGGGGTGGGCAAAATGCAGCCTGCCGGGTCATTTTATCCAGCCCGCGGGGCCCTTAAAAAATTTAGAAAATTAATATTTATCTGCCCCTGGCTGCCTATCATGTGGCCCTCGATGGCTTGCCAAAACTCAGTAAGTGGCCCTCTGCCCAAAATAATTGCCCGCCCCTGGATTAACACATACACATGAAACCAGGGGTCACTCAATAGAATGGCACCTTCTTTAGGTCTGTATTAACCAAGTATGGTGCCAGGTCATACCATACTAAAACATGACATATATGCCACTGCCCAAACAAGAAATGGCAGTGTCACGTAAGTGCAATGCTGAATGCACAACAGCCACAGCTCCTTGCCCTTTGATCCCCACCCCAAAGAGATACTATAGCCAAGGAGTTGGCAGCGTTTTTGGCTGGAGTGCCAAAAATCACCCCAACATCCACCCACACCTCAATTTGGCATGCCAGAGATGGGGGTGCTTCAAGGGGCCTGATCCTCACTGCTGGCGGTGGCTGCACACATACCTCCAGGTGGACGGCAGGGAAGGAGCCAAGGTTGCGCTGCCCCAACACCTTCCCCACCATGTGCTGCAAACCATGTGTGCACCCGCTGCTGCCAGGGAGACAATGCTGGGACTCCAGAGCCCAGCGCAGCTGTTTGAAGCCTCCCAACTGCCTGCCATAGCCGACTACTCTGGGCAGCTTTAGCAGGCAGCTGGGAGGCTGCAAACAGCTGTGCCAAACTCTGTAGCCCCAGCATCAGTTCCACAGTAGCCGTGCCTGCCTGTGCCTCCAGGAGGACGGCAGGGGAGGAGCCAGGGTTGTGCTTCCCTAGTCCCTTCCCCACCATGCACCTGCTGCCACTACCATGGAGCCAGTGCCAAGGCTCCAGAGCCCAGTGCAGCTGTTTAGAGCCTCTCAGCTGCCTTCCATAGCCAGCCCAGGCTCTGGACAGCAGTAGCAGGAAGCTGAAAGCAGCTGTGCCGGGCTCTGCAGCCCTGGCACCAGCTTCATGTTGACAGCAGCTGCACACATGCCTCTGGGAGACAGTGGGGGAGGAGCCAGGGTTGCGCTGCCCCAGGTCCCTTCCCAGCCATGTGCCCAGAGGTGCGTGCACAGCTGCTACAGCCACAGAACTGGTGCTGGGGCTGCAGAACCCCATGCAGCTGTTTATAGCTTCCCAGCTGACAGAAGCTACCCAGAGCCCAAGGCGGCTGTGGCATCCAAAGAAAATGGCCTTGCATGACATGATCTGGTAAGTGTGCCAGGGGTTGCCAATCCCTGCCGTAGCCTTTGGGCACAATGAGTGTGTGCACCACTGCAGGACAGTGATCAGTTTAGAACTCAGGAAGGCACAGAGAAAGGACAATTTTTATTATATTCTGGAATTTGCACCAATAACAACAGTTTCCTATATAAATGTAGATGTTTGTTTTCACCTAGGATGTTTTGGGTCCCAAACGCTTAAGAACATCTCTCCTGCAGGCCAAGAACATAACATTGTGAACTGCTAAAACACTTGTGCTTCCAGACTGACTTAAGGAAGACAGGGCTGGCAAAAAGCCACTTCTGTTAAGGGGACTCATATCTGAACCTCATTTTCTTGCTCCTCTCCCCCTCCCTTATCTTCTTTTGTATTAAAATTTCTCTCCTTCCTATACACTGCTTCGTGCATGTCCTTTTACAGCATGTGATGAAGTAGACTTCAGCCCATGAAAGCTTGTGCTGTATATTTATTTATCGTCTTTATTAAGTCTATATGGTGCAAATCTACCCTGCCTTCTACTTGGCTCACTTGGGCCATGATATGAAGAATGTCAGAAAATGTCATGAACTCATGCTTGCTTAAGCTTGTGAACTCCATGAGAAAGAAAAGGCAGAATAAGTTCACATCCAAAAGAGAGGAATAATTGTGGAGGGGGAGATTCCATTTATCAAAAGCTGGTATTTCAGCTCACATCAAGTACTTTAAAGATGGAATGAGTATAAAACACACTCTATAAGTTTACCTTGGATTTATAATAAAAAGAGAATGAATTTGCACAGTACCTTTCAAAGAACCAATCATCCGTGGACACCGCTGCCCTAGGTATCTCTCTAGATCATCCCAGGCTTTTTTCAGCATAGCATAATACTGAATATATCTTCCTAAGTCAATGTAGAAACTTTTGAAGATAGCCTTCCAGGTCTGATTTCGCCGAGTTCTCTCGTCCCTGAAGAGACATGAACAATAAAAATCTTTTGTTTCCATCAAGTAATATCAACACTGCTATAATAAATATAGCCAGAAACACTTTTTAAAAATCACATTAAGCTACATATGTTGAATTCTTTCTGACAAGAATCCAACATATTAATATACTGATTTACCAGTTTTTGACATTTTGATCAGTTATCTTTTCCAGGGAAAATTAAGACATAGTATTTTTTTTAAAAGAGACAGGACACTTTAAAGCTGAGAATTTAAAGGACACTCGATCAGATCACAGGTAAGTGCAGTGGGCTCTTAAAACAGGACCATTTTGTAAGTAAAATGTAGGACCAGAAACCAAGTCACAAAATGAAAGTTCCTCTGCAGATGAGGCACCACATACAACAAAAGGTACCACATACAACAAGAATTGTCCATTAGAAACTGATGTGGGATTCAATTTTTGTTTGCTGAATAGCACTAAACACCTCGTGTTTTAAAATAAAAATGCAAATACTGGGGACTGAATTTAAATCTGAAAGGGCACATACACAGAACACAACATAGAACTTGTAAGGTTTAGCACTTTAACCAACTCTTTTTGGTATAACAAAAGAAAAGCCTTTCTGAGACCTTTATCAGAAAAGGGAGATGCGCTTGGTTACTGACAATGCGTGTAGTATTTATTCTCATTAAAAAACATGAACCCCTCACAAACTTAGAACGATCAAAATAATCACTGAAAGGAACTTTAAAACTAGGTATTCCCTCTAGGCCTTTTTATACAAAAATATGAATTGACAGCAGACCACCATATGGCGAGCACTGGTATTCACAAGACTCAGGTATAATCGCATGGTTCTTCCACCAAGGTATACGACTATCTCCTCAAGGAATTGGAGATCCTGAGCTGTAAAGAACCTGGACATCCTGAATGATCACTCAGCTGAGGTGCAATGATACCAGACAGTTCTCATTCATAAGGATTGAGACTGACATCTCCATAGAAGCTGAGAGAGAGGGCTGACAATGGAATTCACTCTCTTTGCATATTTCCCACCATATTAGCTATTCAAGCCAAGACACTACAAATACTACAGCTTTCAGATGCAATGTGCTACTTGAACAGACCTCTCTCCTCTAAGAAATATGATTTTTCCAAATACAGTAAGGTTGCTTTTTGTATTTAATGATTCCTACTTTAAATAAGAACATATATAGAATACAATTAACCCAAGAAATTTAAATATGCAGTCATTGTATTTATAAAGATGTCAAATATTTGTGAACAATAATTTTAATGATCGTTGCCTTCCCATTTCCCTGCTCTCACACTTCATTGGTCACCATCACTTGCCAAGTTTTGTCTATGCCAGGGGTGGGCAATTATTTTGGCTGGCAGGCCACTTAACGAGTTTTGGTGAGCTGTCAAGACCCACACACACAAAATCTTTCAAAAGATATCATTTTAACAAAGTATAGATAAAAAATAAATCATATACTAAAAATCAAATATCTACTATAATATATTTTAATTTTATTTTAAAAAATTTAAAAAAAAAAACACAAATCAGGACAAAATTAAGTAGTATATATAGAGGTAATTGCATAATAGCTCAAAATAAAGTCTTACTCTTGTGTATTGTGGAAGAAGGGTGTCGGGGGTGGGGGGTTTACATGTGAGGAGGGATGCCTGCCCACTAGATCCCAGGAGCCAGCTGCGGGTTGCAGGGGGCAGGAGGCATGTGCAGCAGAGCTTGCCCAGGCGGTGCAGGGCAGGTGCACCCGCAGGTGGTGTGATGAGTAGGCACCTGTGGGTGACCAAGTGGGTGAAAGAAGGCCAGCAGCTGAAGCTAGAGCGCCGCAGCTGGGGCAGGAGCTGCCTGGCTGCAGCTTCCCCTCTGCCTAGCTGGGCACATGGCGCCCAGCACCACTGCCGCTTCCCAGCCCTACATGCTACCTGGAGCAGTGAAGCAAGGAAAGGAGTCGGAGGAGAGGGGGAGAAGCTGGAGGTATGAGAAGCCAAGCAGCACCCAGGTGACTGCTGTGACAGCAGCACTGCATGTATAGGCTGGGCCAGTTCCATCAGCAGGCATGAAGTGAGAGCAGGAAGGGCTCAGCACCATCCAGAGTGCCGCAGGGGCAGACACAGGCTGGATACAATCAATTGGCAGGCCAGATCCAGCCTATGCGCCCACCCCCAGTCTGTGCCAAGGTCCCATTCCTGAAAGTCTGATGAAGCCAAGTGTCATCTGTGCAGTTTGCAGGATAATGGTGTTAGTTTGTATACTCTGTGGAATACAAACAACATTTAATCCAAGACTCCCCACACATTTATGGCACTGTAAATATTACTTAGCTAGCTTCCTGCACTAGAGGGCCTCAACCCAGCATGTACATAAGAAATAGTACAATATTAAATAACTGTCTACAAGTACATTCTGATGATAACACCAGCTTTGTTCAACTCATGTCGCATAAAGCTTCTCTAACAACTCTGGTGATATTGTACCAACAGACCATCATCTGAGATAGTGATGCTGCCCAGCTGAACTAGTTAAAAATTTCTTCTGCCATCAAATTTTTGTTCACAAAAATACTATCCATACTTACTCAGATATAAGCCAGTATTTCTTGCAATGTCTTTTCCATAATGGATCATGGCTGGATAGCTGGTTTAATCTTCGACTTAAATAGCAGCAGCTATAAAAACACACCAGTAGTAAGTCTGATTATACAAATCAGTAAAACAACAAAGGACAAGCATAAGGCATGATATTAAATATTGTACTTCATGAAAAAACCCATAAAGTTATAAAATTTCAACCAATTTTAAAAAGTGAGAAATTTTATACATTATGCTTAGACTTGTATGATTAACATGGCTGATAAGAGTACTATATACAGAAACCAAGACAACTTCAAATTTAAGAAGACCCCCTCCTAGTAATTAGATTCTATACAGGGAAAATGATGGATTTGCTACAATTTCCCATGTATATAATCTAACTAGTTGAAGGTCATCTTAGTGGTAGGGGCTGACGGACCAGACTCCCACTCCTTGCTCCCCTACCCCATGTATCCTGGCCTGCCCTTAGCCAGTACTCAAATCCAAGACAAGACTTTTTTTCCCTCCTCCTTGCTGATTTGAAGGGGAGGTTTACCCTCATCTCGGATTCAAGTAAATAAGGTATGTTAAAAACAAGCCTGTCAAGAAGAGGTACAAGTTGTGGTAACAAACCACATTTTTGATCAAACAGATACTCAAACTACAATTATGCCCTCTAGGATTCTCCCTTCATCCATCCTCAAAAAGATCTTATTTCACCTTCCCTGAAATAATAAACATTGGCTAAGTACAGACAGTGAGTTTCTACCAGGAGAAATTCTGCTTTCCCAGTCGAAAGCAAAAACATATAGATCAGGCTTGTCCAACATGCGGCCCTCCAAGGCTTTTTCTGAGGCCCAAGGTGCTGTGATGGGAAATGAAAGTAAACACTGTACTTTCGTTTCTGGGGGGGTGATGCGATACCGCTTCCTGTGAGTTCTCTGAATATGGCTCACAAGCCCACTGGGTGATAAAAAGTTCATGATCCAGCCCCACATTCAAAAAGGTTGGGCACCCCAATATAGATGTTCAGGTTTTTTTCTCCTGGATCAAAAATGGCTGCTCAGGGAGAAAAATAATCGTAGAACAGCCAGGGTTAAAGTGCTCCAAGGAAGTTGCTACTGGAGATTAAACATCTGTACCATTACATAGTTTTATTCCTTCTTTTGGTTTTTAATTTTAAAGTACACAAGAGAATTCCTAAACTACCTGCCTAAACAGTAGTTGAGTTACAATGCAGGTTACAGATAAAGAAGGAATTTGAAGAAGACATGGTAGGTTTTTGCAGACTAAATTGGGAAACATTAACTGGATTATATTTTTAAACTGGAATGTACCTTTATTTATACTATCCGTAAAGTAAGGAATAGAAGTGTTCAGAAACTTCTTTAATATTAGTTATTAAGCTTACTGTTCTGTTGCAAGCAACTGTACAAAGTTGGAACTCAAACCACAGCAAACCTTTGCTTAATGGCAAAGCTTTATCAAATACTAATTTTAATGATTAATTCCAAAAAATCCTCTGAACAAGCCATTTTACAGAAAAAATAACAGATTTTAGGAACAGCTTTTATTTTCCCTGAATCTGATGCCTCAGAATATAGATTAAGGTTAATGTGCTCCATGCAACATGATTTCTTAAGCAAGATCTTATCCACATTAATAACATGAATGCTGGCTTCTTTTGTAGATAACCCTCAGATCTGCCTAGACATGGATGCAAGGCGAGATAAAAAATAGTCTTAACCTGAGAAAAACAGGTATCCTTCCTTCCCCCAACCTAATTTAGTCAGAAATGTTTCCATGGTTGCTTAATCTGTTACTCCTCCCTTTTTATTTTATTTTTTTTAACTTCTAACTCTAGAGCAGATATGCTACTATACCGCAAGATACCACAGACACTCATCTAATGGACATAATCTGATAAAGAACTTTTGAGCTGAGCTGGGTCCCTCTGGCCCAGCAACTGCTGCTTTTCTGAGTCACTGATCTCCAGCACACAGCTCCACATTCTGCACTTCCCGTTCTTGGATTTATCAAACTATTTTTATCAAAACAAGCCAATCTCACAAACCAATCTCAATCTCTCTAGGTATGGACACATGTACACTTAGAGCCATTTCAAAAGGGAATCAACTCTTACATTCTAACTCTGACATGAAACCACGTCAATTAATTGCAGGTAGCATCACCCCCTGAAGTTAAACAATCACACGCAACTAAGTCATGGTTGCCACCCATATTGTATTTCTGAGAGCATTCTGATTTTAATACAGTATCTTGTCTCTTGTAAAACTTGACTACAGATGGAGCTATAAAATCTGAAGTTACTTCCAAGACCCACAGACCTGCAAAATGTTCTGCCTCCAGCCTGCAAAATCAGTTTCATGCAGTGGCAGTGTAACAACAAAAAAAAGTGATGCAGCAATAGCACACAGCACTGTACAACACTGGCACATGGGGAGCCAAAAAAGTTTCAAAGTGATAAGACAGGTGTAATAAGGAACATTTTAATGCCATGGGCACAGGGGACAGCATTATGAGCAGCAGAAACATAAGGCATAAGAAAATATGACAATGCATCAATGACATGTTCAGTGATAAAAGGCAAAAAAATAGGTTTATTTTTCATAGATGCATAATGTAAGGTCAATTCAGGTGTTTGAACCTCTCGGGTATTACAGGCTATTGAATTTCAGCCATTTCCCCTGCAGAGAACCTAATCCTGTGTCCAGCTAAAATAACTTCCAGACAGGCATTCCCAATCTTGATCTGATGACATCAAATCAAAATGGAAAATCCTCCACTCACCCCTGTAGCTTGTTCCAACAGTCAGTTATCTTTGTGACAGGCCAGTAGGGGGTGCTCCTGAGCTGAGCTACCCAGCTCACTGCACGGTCCACCTGCCAAGCCAGGAGTGCCTCCCCGGAGCACACCCACAAGCCTAGGGGTATCGCTGCCATCACCCAAGGGATCTGGTCTGTCTTCGGGCATGTGTCCCCTGGGGTACACAGGCCTTGCAGACCTTGAGGGTGCTGGACCCACTGCAAAAGCTTGGGCTGCTTCCTTTAGCCTGAACCACAAAAGGTAGCCTCCCTTAGTCAGCCGAACCAAGGGGACACAAAGGCATGCCTCTCCCAACAAGTCCACCACACTTGATACAGTGAAAAACTTTATTGGCTCAGAGGGAAGGCTTGGGGAAGGGTGCAGAATAGAGAAGTATTACAGAATAACCCTAAAGCAAACAGTGTGGCTAGGTAGCCTTTGATCACGCATCTACTTTACAGCAAGCTATACATCTAGATAGGTTTCAGCAGTTTCTCGCTCAAGATGCTGAAGTGAGTAGAGCAGCAGATGTTTCAGCTCCTGAGTGTGTCTTCATCATAGCTGTTCTGCCCCACCTCCTGGGCAGTCTTGGCTTATATAAACCTTTTGACATCACCTTTGGGGGCCCAATGAAGGCCAGCAGTTGTTGGCTGCTAGCCAACCAATTTGAAAAGCATCATCACTACATGGTGGAGTGAAAGGGGATACTGGCCCTCCTCCCCGGCCATGAGGTCTCCGCTTAGAACAGAAAGGAAAATTCACGCCCCTCTTACCTGGTCCAGGTCACGTAGGCCGAGCTGGTTGCTTAGCAACCAGTAAGAAGACAATGATAGAGGGGAAAAAAGCTAGCAGGAAAAACAGGGAAGAGACTGGGGATGGAAATCCTCCACAATCTTCATGGGTTAAAAATAAATATAGGACACGTCCAATTTCTAATCTGAATTTGTGCAGCTTTGGGATCCAGTTATTGATTTTTATTATACCCATTTCAACTTGCTTGAAGAAGTCTTCCGTACCCAATACATATATGGATGTAGTTTTATAGCCTAACCCCATGACCTCTCACAAATCAAGTGGATTAAGCTCCAAAAGTCTCATTTGAGACATTTTCTCCAACCCTTAAATCAATTTTGTGGCTCTTCTCTGTATTCTTTCCAATTTTTCAATACAAACTGCCCAGTACCAGTCTCATCAATGCTACTTATAGATGTTAAAAAAAAAAAAAGGAATGGCACTCCACCCCTATCACTACTCATATTATACATCCACTTCTTTCACTCTTTCCACCACAACATCATACTAGCAGCCAAGTTGTGCCCATTATGCTCTTTTAATCCTCTTCAACAACCTACAGCCCACAGACCCACTGGATCCAGCCCACAGCCATGAGCTTTTGGCACTGCAGATCTTCAGTGAGTACGGCTGTTCTTCCCGTGCCTCCACAAGGAGAACTGGCAACAGCGGGGGGGGGGGTCCTAGTACCTGCCTACCTCTGGCCCAACAACCTGCAAAAGGTTGCCAACTGCTGCTCTTCAGGATCACTACACTTCAGGGCACAGCTCCACATTCTGCACTTCTTGTTCCTGGATTTGTTAAACTAATTTTATCTGAGTAGCCCAATCTTACA